CCTACCAATCAACAACCTATGGAACGTACGTTGACTCCGTGATCAAATTACAGTTATTAATTCAATTAAGTCTCCATGCATGAATTAATGCACGGTCAAGTCAACCAAACAAATGCAAGTGGCTTCAGCCTCTGCAGCTAGCGGCGCATATCAATCGGTGGTTATTAGCAAAGAGACAAAGGTAAGCTAAGCAAGCTATAGCAGTAGCATTTCGTATCAATCACAAGGAAAAAAAAAGTGTTTAGTAGTAGTACTCCACATGCATGGTGTACATATGACTTATTTTGACTTTAGAGATTTTGATGGTGGATATATACGATGACTCGATGGATATGCCATGGCCCATGGAAGGTTGGAGAGATGGGGAAGAGGAAGAGCACTAGGCAGAAGACAGACATGTGATGATCAAGTCTCCATACTGATTTAACAGTTAACTCGATCGTCACGTCGGTCGAAACCAAGCACAATATTACCTCGGAATCTCGAGAATATCCAGTAATATTGTAAGTTATTGAGAAAGATATGATCAAATTCGATGGAAAGATGGGAAACCAAAGGTAAACTTATTCGGTGTGGAATTAATCCTGTCTCTACATTAGTTTACAGGCCAAATTATGTGGGCTGGGCGATAAGATCGGAACACTCCAGTGGGCCGATATGAGCAGTAGTATATCGTTGGATCTGAAAAGGCATTCGGAAAAAGCATAGTCCTCATGATATCTTTCCACCACCAACACTAAGAACTGGAGTACTAGCGTTGGTTATTCTAATCGGACATTGACTCATTGATCGATAGACGCCTTGCTTTTGCCGACAAGCGTGCAACATTTTGTTTGGCACTGACCGATATATAGCTAGCTACCTAGTACTTTGCATATTATAGTATATAAACACGGATAATGCATGGTCAATTAATTATTCGCCTTCTAAAAATAAAATCGTACTATTGTACTGTAATATTCGCGTTAAGCAGCAGCTAGCTAGGACCTTTGAAATGTTAACGCGTTCGATCCACTAGGGCATCCATCAGCAACAACTTGCGATGAAACAAGCCATCGACCATCCGTTTCGATCGAAAACCAAACTAGTATTATCTGCATTCTGAGGCTTGGGAACAAATTTAGGCTCTGTTCTTTTGGTTGAGTTGGGAACCCATCCCTCCGGTACGGAAAACGAAGCAGTCCATTAGCACGTGGTTAATTAATTATTTGCTAATTTTTTTTAAAAAAATGGATCAATATAATTTTTAAGCAACTTTCGTATATAAACTTTTTGCAAAAAACACACCGTTTAGCAGTTTGAAAAGCGTGCGCGCGGAAAATGAGATGGGGGAGTTGGGAACTCCAGGAAACGAACAGAGCCTAAGAGTATGTCATTATGTCAACGAGATTGAACACCCCAACTTTTGTTTCTTTATTACTCCTCTCTTTCTCGATCATATATCCTAAGACTCTGTCCTTTAAAAGACTAGACTGAGAAAAACGGAGGAAAAACCTAAGATCCTAGTTAGAGTAAAATAAAAAAAAATGCTCGTAACAATTAACCTCTGACGGATCAAAAAGATGAAATCCAGTTGAATTGACAAGAAGTGGAAACTTCACTCTGAAATCCTTCTATAAAGCTCCGAAACTACAGAATGTGGGTTTTCCACACATGAAGATTTGGATTATCAAAATACCCTTAAAAATTAAGGTATTCCTCTAGTTAATGTAAAAACAGTGTCACAACTTGAAAAGAAGAGGTTAGAACAAAGGACTGATAACTGCCCATTCTGTGACATAAAGGAAACAAATTCATCACTTATTTTTTAATGCTCTTTAACAATGTTCACATGGGACATAATAATCTGTGCCTTTAATCTGAAACTAATTGTAAATTTACAGCAAGTGCGTGGAACTTGGTTACAAAGCTGTGAAAAACAAACAAAGCAGTTGCTGCTTGTAGGGGTCGATGTAGTTTTCTGGGCAATTAGGAAAATTAGAAATAAAGCTTGTTTTGATCAAATCATTCCTGCTGATTCCACTGAAATCTTACACCATGCCTGTTCTTTTATGTCTTCATGGGCCATTCTGCAGATTTCCGAGGAAAAGCGAGAAAGACAGGCTGTGTTTAGATCCAAACTTCAGTCCTTTTCCATCACATCAACCTGTCATACACACATAACTTTTCAGTCACATCATCTCCAATTTCAACCAAAATTCAAACTTTGCGCTGAACTAAACACAGCCATAGTTGTGGGGAGTTCAGTTGCGAAGACAAGTTTAGACTGTGTTTCTCAACCCCTCTCCCTCGTTTTCCGCGCGCACGCTTTTCAAATAGCTAAACGGTGTGTTTTTTGCAAAAAAAGTTTCTATACGAAAGTTGCTTAAAAAAATCAAATTAAACCATTTTTTAAAAAAATTAGCTAATATTTAATTAATCATACAAATGAAGTCTTCAACTCCCATTCTCTCAATATGGAAGGGCAAACTGGAAACGGCTGTGTTGAGCTTCATGATCTACAGGATTGGAGCAAGAAGAACCTGAACCGAAGACTTTTTGCTGCTGGAAATGGTTGTCATTACTGGAACTTTTTGTAGCTCTATTTTTTTTATTTTTATTTTTACTTTTTTTTTGGGTGCGGGGGGGGGGGGGGGGGGGGGCTGCGAAGGGCAAGAGTGCCCCGTCTGTTTCTCTGTTGGAAACTCTGCTAGCGTGCTTGAGCAAATCTTCTTTTGTCGATGCTTTTGTAGTGTCAAAACTCTCTTGTCTTCATGCATTCTACTAATAGAAATAGAAATGGGATCTGGCCCCTTGATAAAAAAAAAGAGAAAAACATAAGATTTCAACAGAGATACGTGTGTAAAACAAAAGTTTGTGAGGTATTTTTATTTAAAGGAAAAACTAAAAATTATATAGAATTCTAGCCATGTATGGTTGTTTCTCGATATGACCCATTGAAAATTATCAATTCGTAAGAAGCGCCTCAATCCTAGGGGTGCAAGGGTGGGCAAACCCGTTTCTTTTTCCGCTTATTCCACTTCTAATTTATTTTTTCTTCCAAAATTACTATCATGTTAAAAATAAACTGTCAAGTGGGTTTTTCTTTAGATAGTAGGACTGCCTACTTATCTCTACTTATCTTTGGTGTGCACTACACATATACGAACTGTACCAAAACTCTAGAGCTTCTAATTAAAAAGACACTGACCGATGTGTGATTAAACACAGCTAGAGCTAGCTAGCTATATACTTTTTCCGTAAAAAAAAACTAATCTAAATTAAAATGTAACACCACCTAAATAATATTGTATTGTTTTGGACGAAGGAAGTACCTGAACGGCCGGTTCGAAAGGTCATGATCTAACTATGATTACTAATCACTATGTTGTACACTCCTAACTGTTACTATATGTACGTACTACCTCCGATCGGACCTATCCGTCCCAAAATATATACTATAATAACTACATAAACAAAATTTCTTATATTTTAGTATACATAGTCAGCTATATATATAGTTTTATACTTATAACTAACGAAACTAGCTACTCCTAACTTACTCTTGTGCGGCAAGAAAGAAATGCTTAATCTTGTGCGGCAAGAAAGAAATGAATCAGCTTAATTAGTTACCCGCAGGCACGTGCAAGCAGACAGACCGACGAGATCCATATACTCTCCCTAATCTTAGGATCCCATAGTTAAAATCTTAATGGCAATCGACTAATTAATCATTGTCCCCCCGGCCCACCTAATCCATCTACTACTAGTACTCCATCGGTAGAAAGTCGTTTATAACAATTTTTAAGTCAAAGATTAGAAATATAAATCATTAATAACTCTCAAGTTGTTAGTTGTTGAGTTTAAAAATGTAAATAATTATATGAATAGATTTATTTTAAAAAATAATTTCATAAAAGTATACATATATCACTTTTCAATAAATATTTTTTATAGAAACAAGAAGTTAAAATTTTGTTTTGGAGACTGTGTCACTATCCAAAACCACTTTCTTTACGAGTACGGAGGGAGTACTCAATAATTCCCGTTTATACTATCCACCCTCTAATTTAATTTAACGAACTTGCATATACTACTTACTACATACTCCCTCCGTACTTGTAAAGGAAGTCGTTTAGTACAATGTTCAAGTCAAACATTAGGAATATAAATCATAAATAACTCTCAAGTTGTTGAGTTTGAAAATGTAAAACTTATATGAATAGATTTATCTTGAAAACTACTTTCATAAAAGTATACATATATCACTTTTCAATAAATATTTTTATAGAAATATAAAGTCAAAGTTGTGTTTTGGAGACCGTGTCGCTGTCCTAAACGACTTCCTTTACGAGTACGGAGGGAGTACTACTCCCTTCATATACTTTTGATAGTCATATTTCATCTTAGCACACAGACCAAGGATAAATAATTCTACTTATCATCCATTTAAATATGCTAGTACTAGTTATTCCTCGTAAACAAGCATGCTAGTACTAGTTATTCCTCGTAAACAAACGATTCATTAATATTTACATTTCTCGATGTCCATGTAGTCAATTTTGTGTGAAAGAATGGAGAGTTGCCCGTTAAATCTAAGAAAGTCATTAAGATAATAGTTTGTTGGATTGAAATATGCCTATCAAAAATAAATTTTTCAGATTTAGAAATATACTTATCAAAAGTAGATGGAGGGAGTATTATTGCTTCCAAAATAAAGTACTCCTACCTAAAAAATTGACAGCTAAGCTAATGGTTAATGTGAGTAAAAAGAGAAGCGCAGATGTGATGGGATTGAATCCCATGAATCCAACCAACGGCCAGGATGGCAGCAGTGGATAGCGGAGCGGAGGAGCAAACGCCAAATCGAAACGGTATAAACCGCTTCCCGCCGCTGCTCTGCGGGCCCACCTGTCAGCTATAAATAAGAAAAAGAAAACCAACCGACAATCCGCCGCGATGCGCTGGCGTTGCCTTGCCCATTCTTTCTTCCTTCCCCATAACATACTAGTAATTCCTTTTCGCGAGATCTCGTCAATTTCTCGTCCCCCACCCCGCTGAGCCATCATTTCTCTCAAATTTCTCCTCCTCCAATCCAAGGCCCCAAGGAATTGAAGGATGATGCTGCTCGCCAAGGAGTTGGGCCTGTCGCCGCCGGCAGCGGTCACTCCTCGCCGGAGGCCGCCGCCTGCCAGGGTCCCCGCCTCTCCCTCCGGTGGCTCGCCCGTGGCCGTCGGAGACCTCTGGCTCCGGACCAAAGGAGCCGGAGGAGGAGGAGACGGGTTCGGGAGCCACAGCCACGAGAGCGAGATGGATTTGGCCATGCTCGTCACCGACTTCCTTGAGAACGGCGGCACCGGAGGCGCCGATTCCCGCGCCAGCAGCGACTCCGACTCCGCCCTCTCCGACCACCTCGCCGATAACATTTCTGTATGCAATACATACCCCTCTCTCCTCTGCCTTGAACAACTCGACAGGATTTCCCTCTCCTCTCCTGTAATTTGCATATCTTTTCCCCCTCAATTGCGCATCAAAATTCTCACAAGGGAACCCTTCTAATTCCAATTGGGTATTACTCTACTTTCAATTTCTCATTACAACTTACCACTGCCTAGCTCGTTTCTTATCATTTTATCATCCCATGATCCTACTAGTTTTTGGCGCTTCTGTCCCGTGAAATTGCAACGACGATTAAATCTGCCCCTATGATGCCTACGCTAGCTGCTACTCGAGGGTTTCATTATGCATCCTTCATTTCCTGCCCTGCCATTAACTAGCGCTACCAATTTCTACCTCTCAATTTATTATTAGCAAGCCGTATTTGTGTAACTGCTACTCCTCCTATCTAAATTCATAATTGGATACTGGATAGCTTACTGTTGGATACAACTTTAAATATTACTATTACTATTATGCTTCATCTGTCATAACTCACCGTTTTATCTATGTGTTCCATTTCAGATCTACAAGCAAGGCGGCGATGAGAAAGAAAACGAGCTACTCTCCATGGTCCACTCGCTGTTATTCTCGATCCATGAGTCAGACCTTCTGGCTTTCAAAAGAGGTCAATGCAGTGCCAGCTGCATCCGTCATTTACTTGTGAAGCTCTTGAGATATTCGGGATATGATGCAGCTGTTTGCGTATCAAAATGGCAGGGATTCGACAAGATACCTGGAGGTACTTGCCTAACAAGTCTCAAAATCATAACTAACAGTACATCTTTACAATCTCTCCTTGGAATTGAACTGTGTAACTTATCTGTTTGTTTTTTTTTCGGTGACTAGGTGATCATGAGTATATCGATGTCATCATGAATAGTGATACTGAATATCGTCTGATCATTGATATCGACTTCAGGAGCCACTTTGAAATAGCCAGGGCTGTTGATTCTTATGACAGTCTGCTCAATTCACTTCCGGTGGTCTATGTTGGCACTCTTCCCAGACTGAAACAGTTCTTGCATGTTATGGTAGATGCTGCAAAATGGTCGCTTAAGCAGAACTCTATGCCTCTGCCTCCTTGGAGATCCTTGCCTTATCTCCAAGCAAAATGGCATTCCAAGTATGAGAGGATAGACCTGCACATTGAGCAAGACTTCCACAGCACAGCTTCAGATCACGCACTATGCATTGGGCACCTCAAAAGGCTGAAATCCTCCCTGCAGTCAGAACTGGATACCGAAAGGTTGCTTATGATGCCAATCAAGACTGATATGAAGCGGAGGGCAAAGTTTGAGAGGCGGCGGCGCCGTTCCTTGCTCAGCTTCTGATTCATATTTGTGCTTCTTGGATACTGAAGTACTGAGAGAAGGAAGAATAGCTTCCCATACTTTTTTTCTGTGATAAAAGGAGTTCTTTTTAACAGTTTTGGACATACAAGGGAAATAGATGACGGGTACTAACAAGGCAGGAGAGTTGAGAGAGTGTGCCAGCTTTTTTTTGAAGGCATATACAAAAACATAAAATTCTTTTTGGATTTCATTTTTGTTCTTCCGGCGATGATGGCTGCTAGTGGTTAATCTGCTGCATACCATGTACAATGATGAGTGTTTACAGCGTTTTTTTCCTCCTTATATTCATTCTTTTATCACATAGATGGACCTTGTGTATTTTGAACACACTTCCTTTTCCCCCTTGTTGTAGAGTGGACATGATACATGCTGTTGGTTCCCTTTGTAATAATAGAATGTTCAAGCTTAGTTACACTCTGTTTTGAAATGATATACTCTAAAATGTTCTGGCTTTTCTTTTTGGTTGTGAACAAGATAATTCTTTATGTTACAATATTTTATGTTGCTGTGATGTGAACAAGATATCTTGAGGCTTCAGCCTTTTTCTGGTGCCACCGCACTTGTTAGGTATGTGGTTAAAAACGGGAGATTCTTTTCATCAGAAAGAAATGACAATGTGTATCCTTTTCTTTTTAAGATGTTACTGCTGAAGTAGTCTAAAGAAAAGGAGAAGATTTGTGGGAAAAGAAAGGAACATATGCGGAGTGCATGTGAACATTGAGAAAAGCATGCAACTATGACCAAGACAAGTCTTGATTATTCCCTCTTCTTTTTCCAGCCTGGTGTGTGTCCCAGTATCTATTTAATCTGACTTGTCTTATGTTTCTTTCTTGTCCTAAACAATTGGTATGCCTGTATAGCAGGTGATTTGAGAATCTTATGAGATGTGTGCTGCTAGTAAACTGAACCATTTTCGGGTGGCAGTTTCGGTTCTCTTTTGAAGGAACTTGTTAGGAAGGTTGGTTTGGTTGACAGTGAGAAACTCACGCTGCAAATGTGGCGCAGATGAGAGGCTCTTACACGGGCCTACGGGCTACGGCTTACGTTGACTTGCTTATATCCAGAGAAAAGAAATCTTCAGATAGAAAAAAAAGGTATCTCCCAAGAAGCTTGGTTATATTCGAAGAGAACAAAAAGATCTTGAAAGGAAAAAATAAAGGAAATTGGGGGGAGAGAGGCTCGAACTCTCGACCTCAGGATAACTCAGATTAGCTATGAGACCTACGCGCTAGCCAACTGCGCCACCACAAACCTGCAAATTATCTACTTAATTATGACCATAAACTAAATATGTTGGAAGTTAACAAATAGCTTAAAACATGTGATCTAAACAATACAACAGAAGAAAAAATTTTGAGTTTTTTTCTAGCATGAAGCAGATAATAGTTTTGATATCTGCGAATAAGTTGCTATATTTTGCATAGAAGATAGGCAAATAAGTTGCTATATTTTGCATAGAAAAAGATCTTCTCACGCAGGTTGAGAAAACCCCGAACCTCAGCCCCACCCCTATATAGCGGTACTGTAGCTCATCTGATAACGACCATCGACCTGTACTTTGGCATCGGACAAACGATGGGAGTCAACCTAGGAGTTGAGAAGTGCTACTTGAATCAACTAACCAACTCGGTTAAAGACTTGTTCGCATATCATATTTAACAAGAATTTAGCATATCTTTTGGATAAAAGTATTAGGTTTATACCTCTGTTGATTTTGGAAGCAAAGATATAAAGAGTTCTCATGTTCCCATAAATATTCGTAATCATATTCATTCTGATTCATATTCGTTTGGTATTTGTATTTTATATTATTTGATTTTATTTTCATATTTATGGTTTTTGTTTTCGATTCGATTAAAGTAATAAAAATAAATATGGTAGAGATAGTTTTATTCGTTTCCCAGCCATTTTTGTTCCTACTAATATACACATTGAGAGATAGTTCTCTCTCGAGGAATTGCGAAGGTTTTACTCTTCTTTTTACTTTCCTTGAGAGAAAACTCAGATGCATTTTGTTCATTTACTGTTAGTCTGATAGAATCTCAGGTCGGTTTCGTGGTGTAGTTGGTTATCACGTCAGTCTAACACACTGAAGGTCTCCGGTTCGAGTCCGGGCGAAGCCAATTTTTTTTAGTATGTGTGGCGCAGCCCTTTTTTTTTTTTGAGTATGTGTGTGTTACAAAAAATTATCAAATAGGAGTATTAAACTTCAGTATGTGTGTGTTTTTTTTTAGTATGTGCGTGTTACAAAAAAATATCAAATAGGAGTATTAAACTTCAGTGTGATAAAAAAAATCTCAAACATTTTTGTTTTTGAAACGTGCTAACCTTTAGGCCTTCTTCATTAATCCCTCTAATAGGGGATTTGAAGAGGATTTAGTCCATATTTTTCGTGGCATGGAATTATTTTTTGTCAATCTCTCTCTTTTGTGGATTAAACGAGCAAGGCATTAGTGTTTTCTATTTTTGAGTCGTGCCAACCTTTTAGTTAGTGTGTTTTTTTTATGGTGCTAACCTTCAGTGTGTTAAAAAAAGTTCTCAAACATTAAACTTCAGTGTGATAAGAAAAATCTCTTTTTTTTCTGTTCTTGAATCGTGCTAAGCTTTAGTGTGTATTTGTTGGATGGTGCTAACCTTCAGTATGTTAAAAAAAATCTCAAATAGTAAACTTAAGTGTGATAAAAAAAATCTGACCTTCAGAGTCTAGAAAAAAAAATCTCAAATCTTAAAATTCAGTGTAATTTATTTTGGGTGGTGCTAAACTTCAGTGTGTTTTAAAAAAAACTCAAATATTAGACTTCAGTATGATTAAAATTAAAAAAAAATCTGATCTTCAGTGTGTTAAAAACAAAATCTCAAATGTTAAAACTCATCGTGTTAAAAAAAATATGGATGCTGCATTTTAGTGTGTGAAAAAAGTCTCTGGGGATTTTTTTTGACGTGAAAAAAAATCTATGGGGATTTTGGATGCTGACCTTAGCGTGTTAAAAAAAATCTCAAAGTTCGCTTAAAAGACTCAAATTATAACAGCAAGCTGGGTGGCCCGCGCAATTGCGCGGTTAGCACCCAAACAAAATCATATATTTTTTAGTATGATTTTACTTAAAATTTATTAAATAGCTATCTAGCTATCTCATTGTCTTGAGACTTTAAAAGACCAAACCTTATCATCCTCGTGTTTCTAATTATATAGTTTTTAAAAGTCACACCAGTTGCTACCCCTTATGTCATCTCCTTCTTGCTTTCTTGATCTACCACTATTTCTATTCATTCTTCTTGAAACCTTTAAAAATTGGATTTTATAGTTTTTAGAGTTTATTGTCACGTTGGGTTTCATTTTTATAATTTCTAGATGTCCCGTCAAACGTTGCTATTATACTCTTCTACGGCCCGTCCACTGTCTCTTCTCTTTGTTGTCATTGAAATTTTAAAAATCGAACATAATTATTGTTTGGGTTCATTTTTTACTTTTTAGAAGTCCCGCCAAACTGTCAGCGGCTTTGCCATTATACTCCTCTACGGCTCGCCCGCTGCCTCCCTTCTTTATTCTCATTAAGATTTTAAAATCGAACATAATTATCATTGGTTTTTTTTACTTTTTAGAAGTTCCAAACTTTTAAAAATTGGACTTGTAGTTTTATTTTTTATAATTTTTAGAAGTCCCATCAAACGATGCCACTATGCCCCTCTACAGCCCGTCCATCGCCTACTCTTTATTGTCATTGTGATTCTAAAAATTGAACATAACTATCGTTGGAATTCATTTTTTATTTTCTAGAAGTCCCGTCAACCGTCGGCGGCTCTGCAATTATACTCTTATACGCCCCGCCCGCTGCTTCTCCTTTTTATTGTCATTGAGATTTTAAAAATTGAATATGATTATCAATGGGGTTTGTTTTTTTTACTTTCTAGAAGTCCCGGCAACCGCCTTACTCGTTTGCTTCACGGCCTGCCTGGCGTCCCTCCTTTTAGTCGTCATTAGGATTCTATTTGATATTTTATTAACAATTTTTATATCTCGTATCAACCGCCACCACTCTACTCCTTTATAGGCATGTTACTTAATTTATCTCGTCATGTGTTTTAGATAGTCTTTTCTTTCAATAATCTTTATTTTTATCACAAATTTTAGTTATTTATAAATTGTATTCCTAATTGAAATCTTATTTTTCTTTTTCTAATTTCAGATTTTTTTAAAAAAAATAGTTAATATTGTATTATGTTATTTTAATGTTTTTATTTTTTATTTTCAATTTCAGTTGTTTGAAAATTGTATTCCTACTTTAACTCTCTTTTAGTTTTTCTAATTTTATATATTATTTTATTTTTATTCTAAATTTTAATTAATCTCGTATTTGGTTCTTACATGGATTCTTCTTTCAATATTGCTTATTTCTAATTCCGAATTTCATCTAATTTTAAATTGTACTCCTACTTGAACTCTTTTTTCATTTTCTTTTGCTAATTTTGGATTTATTTATTTTTATTCTGAATTTTAATTAATCTCATATTGGTTTCTTATATGTACTCTTCTTTCAATATTCTTATTTTTAATTCCGAATTTCAGCTATTTTGAAATTGTATTCCTACTTGGACTCTCATTTCCTTTTCTAATTTTGTATTTTATTTTATTTTTATTTCGAATTTTGATTAATCTCGGATTGTGTTCTTATATGGAAACTTATTTTAATATTCCTTATTTTTAATTCCGAATTTCAGCTATTTTTAAATTGTATTTCTACTTGTACTCTCCTTTCCTTTTATTAATTTTGGATTCTATTTTATTTTTATTTCGAATTTTGATTAATCTCGTATTAGGTTCTTATATGGAAACTTCTTCCAATATTGCTTATTTTTAATTCCGAATTTCGGCTATTTTTAAATTGTACTTCTACGCGCAATTGCGCGGCTAGCACCAAAAAAAAACATATATTTTTTAAAGTATGATTTTACTTAAAATTTATTAAATAGCTATCTCATTGTTAAGACTTTGAAAAAACAAACTTTATCATCCCCGTGTTTCTAATTATATAGTTTTTAAAAGTCACACCAGTTGTTACGCCTTATGTTATCTCCTTTATTTGTTTGCTCGATCTATCACTATTTCTATTCATTCTTCTTGGAACCTTTAAAAATTGGATTTTATAATTTTTAGAGTTTATTTTCACGTTGGGTTTCGTTTTTATGATTCCTAGATGTCCCGTCAAACGTTGCCATTATGCTCCTCTACGGCCCGTCCACTATCTCTTCTCTTTATTATCATTGAGATTTTAAAAATCGAACATAATTATCGTTTGGGTTCATTTTTACTTTCTAGAAGTCCCGCCATTGTACTCCTCTACGGCTCGCCCGCTGCCTCCCTTCTTTATTGTCATTGTGATTTTAAAATCGAATATGATTATCATTAGTTATTTTGTTATTTTTAGAAGTTCCGAACCTTTAAAAATTAGAC